TGCAACTCAGATTAGCTCAATTTGCAAAATAAATGAACCTTCTAACTGGTGGTGCTGCAGACTCCAGCTGCTCCCTGCTGGCTTTTTTCTATTCTGTTGCTTCTGCCTTGTGCAGTTTCTCTACCAGTAAAAGATTCAGCAATCAGATCGGCTCTGCTGCTGAGTTGGATTTGGAATCAAAGGCAGCTTGTTTTCCCCCAGCTCCCTGGCATCTTCAGGGCAAAGGAGGGCATAGCTCTCAAGTCAGCAGGTCAGGTTAGGTGCAGGGAGTGAAGAAGAAAAAGGAACTATTCTTCCATCCTGTTCTCCATTACAGTGGTTTTCATCCTATGGTCCATGACCCCCTGTAGAGGTCCAGGTCCACAGACTAAGGCAGTGTTTCTCAACACATGGGTTGTCCCAAAAGTGGGTTGCAAGAATATATGAGAAGATCACAAACAAACTTTAAGAATAGATTCTCCTTTTTAAAGGAGAAAAATGTGGGAAATGGTGGCTTTTCCCTTGAAGGCTGGCGGAGTTCCAGACTGCAGCGGACTGCTTGGGGCTCACCACCCTGCCCCACACTGGGGAGCTAGGGCCTGGGGGTGGCGGATTGGGGAAGAGGGGCACTAGGTCGGGACTGCCCACTGATGTTTACAAATGGCTCCTGGTACAAAAAAGGTCGAGAACTGCTGGTCTACGGGGTCTGCAAAAGATCAATCAAATGGATATAAATTACTCATGCTTGCAATTCAGGGGGGTCCATACTTCTGTTCAGGATTTCCAAAGAAGTCTGCACCTCCATTTAACTTTTTTCATTAGTGGACCTCTTTTTTTTTTAAAAAAAGGGTTGTAAACCACTGATCTTTTGGCTACAATAACAATGCTTATATAGCTCTGGATATGGGGACTTGCCTAGCATCTTTCTAGTGTTCCCAGACTTTTCTGCCTGCAGCCTATACATTTCTCTCACTTGAAGCCGTTTTGCATCATGCCCTGGTTGGTTCACACCTCTTATATCCAGCCAAGCCTCATGCACCCTCTGAAGGATCAGAGGGCTGCAATCCTAATGACAGCTACATGGTTGAGTAACTCCAGCAAGACCAAGCAGGTATCGGTGTTCATATACCTGAACACTGGTCCTGTAGCCCACCCTCTGAAGCTGCGGAATAGGCCTTGAGTTGCCAAATGCTTGAGGCAAATCAGCTGGCCTACAGTGTTTCTTCTGCTTCCTTGCCCCCCCCCCCAACACACACTTTGGTGGTATCGAGATATTACTGTCGTGGGAGGCATTTGTATTCTGATGTCACCTAGTAGCAAAAGCATGTGGCATAGCAGTGGGAGAGGAGGTGCTGCTGCAAAGCTAGTTATTGGGGATGTCTGATCAAAACCCTGGCTTGCTGCTGCAAAATGACTGGCCACTAACTCCACCCTCCCTTGGGGAGACTTTAAAGCTGATTCCATTTGCTCACTGAGAAACATTTTAAAACTAACCCAGCTGTTTGAACCTACCACAGCCTCAGCTTGGAGCTTGCATGGACTCGTCTGTTAAATAGATTTTGTGGGGAGGGTAGCTGGACTCTATTCCTAGCTCAGTTACTCAGGTGATCCTGGGCATGTTCTCAGTAAAGCAGGGACAGTAGCCTTTTCTTTCATCCTGTCTTGTTTCATGTTTATGCAGACCTGAAACTTTTTGGGCCTTCTTGACTACTGTCACTGTACAGATATGAATAATGTAGAGTGTAAGCAGATGTAGGGTGTTTAGCCGCCCTATGCTGGTTTAGCAGCACAACTGCTAATTGCCTTGGACTGTGTGGCTTCATCACCGAGGTGATGGAACCAAAGCTGTTTTAATTTCAGTCTGTTGGAAAAACGGAGCAAGGGGTGGGAATGGTAACTTTTCAGCTAGTGGAAAAGAACAAAGAAAGATACTGTATAAAGCTTTTTAGAGCCTACCTTACAATAGGAGACTTGCAACAGGACCTCTTCAACTGAAGTTGCATGATGGATACATTTCTTCCCTGAAAATGGAAATGAAATTTACCTGTTGCGAAGCATTAGAACCATCTGAGACACTGCTGTTCACTTCGCTGGGTTTCAGTCCCACCCTCAAGGCCCCCTTGACAGATTCAGCTGCATCCTGGCTTGGGGTTTTGAATGATCCTTTATTTTATTTTTTTCAAAGCATTGCCCTTATGCTGCTGTCTAGTTGCGTTTTTTAAAATGCAATGTAGCAGCAGCAGCAGGCTAGCTTGTATAATGGAAGAGTTCAAGGGTTCCTGCACTGAGACAATAGCAACATTGATTTAAGTTTGGGGGGAGGGGGCTGGTAAACAACTGGTCCTCTTGTCTGCTTTACTTCTTGTATATGTGCTTGATTTAAAACAGAAGAGATACTGAATAGTTGTGAAGTTTGGGGAAGATCTGTATGTGGATGTTTCCTGGCTCTAATGGGTGCTGGGGTTTGTTTTTTATTTCTCCCTTGATGGATGTTGTGCAGTGAGTACTCCACACAGGCAGGGAAGCTGAGCCAGTTGTTTTGTAATGCATCTACAGCTGTGAAAGAGTTTCCCAGTCATTCAAAATGCTTCAGACCCCACATTCCTAACCGGAAACAAAACTCCTTTAAGAATTCATGGAGGTCAGTGACACTCGAGCCTCATGAATACCCAGTGTTGAGTGAAGGGCCACATCACTATTTACATACCTGGGTGGATTGTGGCAGACACGCACTAGTTCTAAAATTTAAAAAAAAAAAAAAACCCCGTCACATATGGGCATATGGCAAATTTCCAGCATAGCAGCACTGACAAGTGGCCATATGCATATACTATATGCAATGCATGCAGCAGCAAAAAGTAGTCTTGATAAGATTTTTGTAAAGGGCCTTGGGCAGCAAGTTGAAGAGCCACTTGTGGCTTGGGAGCCAGGACTTAAATGGCATTTCTCAGATGAGTCCTCCCTCTCTGCCTGCCATCACTACTTTGTCCTTCCACCCTAGTGCTGTGGCACAAGATCCCTCCCTAGTGCAATACCTGCCATTTGAAGCAGCCTCCCTGTATCTCTGCTTCCTCCACTCTCCATTTCAGGTTATGACTCCTCCTCAGCGCAGCTTGTTGATAGCAGGGAATGTTGTGCAAGGGACAGTTGAGCAAGAGCAACTAAGACAGCAACAGAATCTAAAAAGTGTGAAGATGGGACCTGCTAGATAACCTAGGTAGCTGCCTGCTCTGCCTCAGAGGAGCTTGCCACTCTGCTTGGCAAACTCATGGAACACAGCAATTCAGAACCTGGTTTGTCAGGAGGAAAAGGGGAGATGCTATAAAATAAATTGTGTGTATGGTAACCTGGTCGTCAGCATTAGGCTGAATTCCTTCTACCTGTGCAGCAGGCCAGCTAGCAGACTGTGCTGCAGGCTTACTAGTCTTCCCTGGATTAACATGTTAAACCAGGGGTGGGCAAAATATGGCCCATGGGCGGATCCGGCCCGCGGTGCATCCCTTGGTTCCTTGGCCCAGGTACAATCCAGCTGTGGCACATCCTGCTGCCTCCAGGGCATGCAGTGGGGCTGGGTTGGCTCCGCACCTGGACTGTCTTTCTAGGCAGCCCAGGTGGAGGCAGCTCATCGTGGCTGCCACTGCTGCTGGCCCCAGCCCTGTGGTACCAGCAGGGACCTGTGCTGCACAGCCCCAACCCCACACCTGCTCCTGGTTCACCTGCTCAGGTTGAGCAGTGGCAGTGCAGGACAGAAGCTGTTTTTCTGCATGGCGGGGAGAAATGACCCCTTCCACGGCCAGCAGTTCTCCGCTGTGGCTGCCTGGCACCCTCACAGGGCTGCCCTGTGTCTCTGCTGTTATCATTGCTGTGTCTGGGCTGCCTCTCAGGGCAGCAGGGACAGTGCAGCACAAACACAAGGCAACCCAGCACAAGCTTCAGGCGGCTGCAGCAGGGAACTGCCAGCAATGAGAGGGAAGGGGCTGCTTTTCCCTACCCTGAGCCAGTAGCTTTTGTCCTGCGCTCCTGCTGCTCAGCCTGGGCAGGCAGCACTGGAGCAGATGCGGGGCACATGAGGTTGGGGCTGTACAGCACAGGTCCCCACTGGCACCATGGGGCTGGAGCCAGCGGCAGGAACTACCTGGGTTGCTTAGAAAGGCAGTCCAGCCGCCATGCTGCCCCAGCCCTGCTGAGTGCCCAGGGGTAGCAGAACACACCATGAGCAGGTGGTGTGAAGCAGACGTGGGATGGACCAGGTCAGGGCTGTGCCTGGGTTCCAGCTGATCGACTCCAGCGAGAGTGTTTCTGGAGTGGGCATGGGGCAGAGCTGGGGCTGCATGCTGCTGGCAGTGGTGGGGAGGTGCTGCAGGGCACACGGGCTCTGGGCTGTTGCAGGGCGAGGGCGGGTGTTGACCTGCTCGGAGGAGCATGCATTGTGGGGTGGGTCCCATGCCCACACCACCATAACCACACCCTTCCCCCCACAATCGCACACCCCACAAACACCTCACCCACTTACACACTCCCACACATGCACACGCCCACGTGCCTCTGGGGGAGTGCCGCTTAGTACTACATGCATATATGCCACGCACGGACGCACGCACGCACACTCTTAAAAAGATAAAATTAGACCTTGGATTTGTACAAAGGACACTGCAGGCTCCCATCCTTTTTTTTCCCCTAAAGAGAAACCCTTCATTTAATTTGAAACATTGTCCCCTGCTCTGTGGCCCAAAGGAAGGAGGTCATTGTTTATAATGAACACTAATTATTCCCAGGCATGTTCCTAGCCTGGCCACTCAAAGATGAGAAACAGCACCTTGGGACAAGTAATTATTAACCAGGAATTGCCACAGGGAATAGGTTCGCTGGTATTTTTAAGCTGCTGCTTTTCATCAGTTTGTTAGGACAAGAATGGCAGACTCTTCAAATGGCATCTGATGAAGTAAGTTGTTGCACGTGAAAGGGCCTGCCTCTGAAGCAGTCTCTAAGCAACCACCCTGTCTTGCCTTCTGGCAGATTTTCAGGCTAATGCTGATTATCATCTCTGTCTTCTGCCAGGTGTGGTCACTTTCCCAGTCTGTGTGCATATCAGCAAGCACCCAGACCCTTACAAGGTGTCTGAATTGCTGGGGGGGTTTTCTTTTCCCCCTCGTCTCTTGTTGGTCTCCTATGTCCTTCCTTTCTGCTTATTGTTGTTAACCTTTCCCTCTCCACCCCACAAGCTGTCATTCATGGTAACTGGGAGACACAGTCTTTCCTTCCCACAAAAGGAACCGGAGGGTCTTGCTTGTTGAATCGCTCTGCCTCTCCTTCTCCTCCATACTTTCTCTTACGGCTGCCCCTTCCTCTCTGGTGAGAGGATTCCTACTCAGATGAGTAGCAGTGAAGCAAGCTGCTATCACACCCATAAATGTGCATGATTTGGCTCTGCAAGTCAGGCAGCAGACCAACCCCACAAGAGAAATGGACCTATTTGACCTCTGCAGGTCATAAGAACAGAGACTCATGCATATGGGTCCAGTAGGATGCAAACTAACAGGATAAGTATTTACTTATAGTGACAGTAAAGGTTTTGTTGTTGCATCCAAAGAAAAGTAACTCCAGGAATACAGCCTAGTGTCTGTGAAGGGAGTGGATTTCCAGCTGGTAAAGGGAGCCTTTCTGGTAGAAGGGGTGAAAATTTTAAGAACTTCCGTTTTCTTCCTTAGTCCTTTTTTCAGAATTCTTTGAAAAGACCCATTTCCCCTGGGAGACTGTTGTTAAGCATCTGATTCTGATCAGAAAAGTTGCTTTTAGGCTGCTTTGCTTTAGGAAGATAAAATATGATGGCAAACTCTGGTTTCTTGGAAAAGACCTGCGGTAGGCACTTTTTTTTCTGTTTAGAAATTAGTGTTTGATTCTTAGTGATTCAGAATACACTGAGAATTGGAACTTTAACCAGGCGCTGTCCAGGGCAGGCTGGAAACCTAACAGGGGTTGTAAAACAAGGGGGAAGAGAGAAGTCTTTTGTTCTTGCCTCTTGGAAGGCAGGTTGAAAAAAGTGTGAACCTGTGTTACATGACATGTGGTGACGAACCCAAAGCAGGGAGTTTCTTTGTAGATGCAAGCAGGTCACCTTGTCCATGCACTCTGGTGGCAAGGGGAGAAACGTGGCCTCAAGGTATCATCTGCTATAAAAGGTCCCCCAACACAGTTTGGAGGTGCTCAGAATCCATTTGCAGGCTCTTGTCTGTCCCCAAGATTCAGGGTGGTTTGGGTGGAGTGGGGAATTTGGTCACTGGGGAGGAATTTGTAATCAACTGAATTGTGTAGGTTGCTTATGGTAAGACGGCCTAAAAAGCAGAGTAGGTACCAGGACTAAGTGAGTACTCTTGTTCTTGTGTTCATGTTGAATCTGGAAGAAATTGTATTTTGCAAATCTGACTTCCCTTTTGTCATCTTTTTTCAAACAGTGACTAGGTAGCCATGTCGGCCAAAGCCATCTCTGAGCAGACTGGGAAGGAGTTCCTCTATAAATATATCTGTACCACCTCAGCTGTCCAGAACCGCTTCAAGTATGCCAGAGTGACGCCAGACACTGACTGGGATCGGTTGATCCAAGATCACCCCTGGCTCCTAACTGAGGTGAGTGATGATTTGCCTTTCTGAAGCACCATTCATCAGAGGACCTTGGAGCAGGCTGCACAACTTAATGGTTTGTCAAGGGCTCAAAGTGACAGGCAAATACAACAGAGAGGGAGGTAAAGCATCTTACTTTCCAAGTCGTACTGTAAGTCCCTGCTCTCCTGCCTTTCTTCCTCCTTATCTGATTTGCCAAGGTTCCAGTTTGAGTTGGAGTACGTCATACAGAAACTTTAAAGATGGCTGGGGCAGGTTGCACTCTGGCTGCCCTTCTGTGATGCATCTGAGCCAGAAACATTTGGGGAGAAGCCAGCTAACGTGTCAGTAGACAGTTGAGGCACTGATGTGGGGAGGAGGCGGTGGGGGGGGGGGAAGCTGGCTTCAGGGACGGTGTATCCTTTTCAAAGGAACGTGACTTTGTTGATTTGAGAACTTGCATGGAGCAAATAGAGAATCTTCCAAACCTGATGTTGCCAGTATCCACAAACTCCATACCACAGACTACAGTACGAGACAGTCTTGTTACTACTGTACTCAAGGTGTTTCAGTCCTCATCCCCAGTAATTTTACACTGCTCTGATACTGTCCTGCTCTAACACTCTCTCTTCACCCAAATAGTAATGCGTGGGGCCAGGATGGAGTGTCTGTTCACAGTGTTTTGGTGACAGGCCTTCACTGAGCAGATTTAGTTCTCAGTAGATAGACTAAAGTAGGGTTTGTTTGTTTTTTCTGGATTTCCTGCAGCTGAACAAAACATTAAGGTGAGCATGATGCTCTTCTTCCCAGCATGAAGTGTGTGTCCCTACTGTGTATTTTCTGCAGGAAGCTTCTCTGGAGTACTTTGTTGCTTGTTTTAACTGGCTTCTTTCCAGTTCATTAAGCCACTGGTTAGCAGAACATGAATGTCCCACGTAGTCCATTTTCTTACTGATTGATTTACAGCCTTACAGTAGCTAATTAAATGCTCGCTGCTTGACTGCATAAGTCAGTTACTGGAAATTGTCAGCAATCTCTCTCAGGTTTACAAGAATCCATAAAGGATTACAGATGATACCCATCCTGTGGGTAGGTATGTTTAGGAGATTTCTAGTGTCCGCCTAACAAAGGGACCCAGCTATTACCATATTGTATACTACAGCTCTGTATGTTTGTAGGTCTACACTGTAAGTCACTATAGTGGTTATTCTAGGTGGATGGGAAAAGGGCTGTCCCAAAGAGGAAAGGCATCCCAATGGTGACCAATTCTCACCAAAAAGTGACCCATGTGAGCTTAATGTGTGCACTTCTTTTGGTGCAGCTTTTTGTAGACATCCTATAGAGTGCAATTGTCAGTTGAATGAAACACGATAACCTACTTGTTCCACCCTTATCCTTGACATTAGCAACTCTCATGTGTAGACATGTGGTGACAGCAGAGAAAAGAGCCTTATTCGTGAGATGCTAAATGACATTTACTTAGTGTCTGGTATTTCATGTTTCAGTGGCAGTCTCTTATGAGCCGCTGCTTGCTGGAGGGGTTTATAGTTTCATAGTTTCTAGGGTCGGAAGGGACCTGAGCAGATCATCTAGTCTGACCCCCTGCCATGGCACGAAGAGCACTGGGGTCAAACGACCCCAGTAAGGTGGTCATCCAACCTCCTCTTAAAAACCCCCAGGGTGGGAGCCTGCACCACCTCACTTGGAAGCTGGTTCCA